CAAAAATACAAAAAAAATGGATTTATTATAATTTATATTTTTTTATAAAATTTTCTATTTATTATAATTTATATTTTTTTATTATAATTTATATTTTTTTATAAAATTTTCTATTTGTAGTTTTGTACTAAACCCAATTAAATATATGGGCTATTATGTTTTCCAAGCTCAAATACTTTTTCTCTTTGATATAAACTAATTATACACAATCAGTGTTGTAGAACTTTTTCATCTACAAATTCACAATTTAATTTTTTAGATTTTAAAAATTCAGATCGTGCCCTAAACTACTAATTAAATGAACTTGTTTATCCTTATTTTAGGATGCTACAACTTGTGATTGTCGAAATTTCAAGGGTCACGATAGCAATGGTTTTCGAAATTACAGGGATAGCACAACCTACTAATCATAGTACCTCAAACATAGTATAGACCATTTGTTTTTCTCAAGTCAACCTTTTTACAACAAGATAGCCTTTTGTTAGCACAACTTGTGATTGTAGTACCTCGAACATAGTATAGACCATTTTCTTTTCTCATGTCCGCCTTTATCACAACAAGAGAGTCTTTTGTTACTTGAAAATTTGTATCCCTTGTCATCAAAGACACTTAAAGATATAACGTTTCTCTTCATCTTTGGAATGTAACGAACATCACTTAAGCTTCTTATTATGCCATCAAACATCTTGATCCGTATGGTGCCAATACCACCAATCTTGCATGGTGAGTTATCAAATCAAGAACAGAACCAGCATTATGAAGTGGTTTGAAGGTAGTAAACCATTCTTTATGTGGGCATATATGGTATGTACAAACGAAATCAATAACCCACTCATGATTAATGTTGGGACACCTAACAAAATCTACATTAACAAATAACAACTTCTTTTGAATGTGGTCGATTGCTTTTTTCAAGAACAATATCCCTACCATCTTTTTTCTGTAAAAAGACCACAACAAAGGCCGAGTTTAAAAGGAGGGAGATTTAAAATACAAATACTAGATATAGAACTAATAGTAAAATAGTTGTAAAGGTAAAGAAAGTAACATTACCTTTGTCGTCCGGCCTTGAGCTTCCATGAAATCAGAAAAAGCATGCATTAACAAGTCTTCCTCGGCCTACAAAAAAGATTAAAATAATTAATTAATCAAGCAAAGTGTTGGATATTATACGTAACAATACATGCAAAGAAAAAAAAAATCACACCTTAAGTTTTTGCCATTCATGTGACAATGATCGACTAGCATCCATGAGGAGTTCATCATGTTTCTCCAAGTGTTTACATTTAGAACAAGAACATTATGTGCTACCAATCGTGTAAGAAAAATCATTATTTCAGCAAAACTTACTTCAAAGTCTCTTCATATTTAAGGTCCATTAGATTATGCAAGCTTTATTGATACCCTGAAATCCTAGCCTTCAATCTTTACTTAAACATCAACAGCAATTAGGGATGATCTTCAAGCATTGTTGATTAAATAAGTACTCTAGCGAGCATAACAGAGATAGTAATGTAAATATTTAAGGACACACAAGAGGCACGACTTTTTGGAACATTGTACTTATCTTTCTGTTGGAAAACATACGAATCTTGTGAAAACAGAGAAAGGACATTGCACTCGATGCATGTCTTAAAATAACTTATTCATGCAAATTGAAGCCATGGTTTCCACATCCAAAACTATTTAACCGAAGATTGGTATATTTACTCTTTAATTTTTGACAAATAATTAACTGTGAAGTTATTTTTTTTTAAAATAAAGCGATTTGAATGAATACTAAAAAGAAATTAAATTGATATTAGCCTTATTTTAAAGGTTCAAGATATCACTACCTATATGTTCAAGTACTGGAATGTGGTACACGTCGTTGTGGTGTTTAAAATCCTCCAATAAGAAAGGTCGTGGGCGGCTATTTTCACACCACCGCCTCAATTAGCCGTTAGCGGTGAGTCACTGACTCTTTTCCAATGATGTTTCGTTTTGCGGCCCACATCACCGCCTATTTTTTCCCTTTTATCTCTATCTCTCTCTTGGTTATCATTCCCTTCTCTCCAAATATTGTCGATGCTCTCGTACCTTCCTCACTGTATGCTGTAGATGGAGGTTCGGGATAGTCTACATCCCTCCGTCATACCGGAGAACATGATGCTTTAATTGCATACGTCTTACACCTGCGTCCCCTTTGGCCGCCTCAATGGGATGAGTCATCATCTCCTTCCTTCACACGCAAATTAAAGGATACGATTTTTGTTTTGGCTATGGATAGTTGACGTCATCGCAAATTGGGCCTACTAAGTTGCCACATTCATTCCTGGGTAGCCAATACCCCCTGTCACCGCCTTATCAAGAGGTGGACCTTTATCTTTCCAATTAATCCAAGAATCAAAGTTTGAATTGCAACTTTCGTTTATTTTAATAGTTACTTTGACCACTTTTCCATATTCCATTTATTTTAATAGTTAGGAACAAATTTTGGGGAACTTATAAGTGCTAAAACTACTATAAAACAAATCACAACCATCAGGTGCTGGTTTAGAAAAGTAAACACACCCAACATTGCAAAACACAAGATGTAAAATGGATGATTATGCAAAATATATATATTACAATTAGAATAAATAATAATATATTTTTGATCTATTGAAAGGTGTTTCGGGTTTTTGTAAGAAAATATTCATTCATTATCACATTAGTTGGTGGATTGTTTATAATTTTGGTATGCAATTTTATTTGTTTGGAGAAATGGATGAAAATTTCAATAGTTAAGAAAATTCAACCTTATATTAAAAAAGAGCAAAAAGGTATTATGAAGAAAATGTTTTTATTCAGTCACTATTGTATTATTGTAGATGAACAGATGGGAAAGGATACTGACCAACTTTACATAAATGATAGCCATAAGATAGGTTAGCTATTCTGTTACTTTGAATTCCCACTGGTTTGAATGCATTCTTTAATCATTCATAGTTGATACATTCTTACTCATATGAATTCCCTTCATACTTGTAAGTTGACATTTCAAATAGATGTCAGTAATACCTATGACTATAGAACAGGAATTGGATCTGGCATGGTTGATTCCCTACATGCCTAAAAAAGAATTGCATTATATTAAGAGAATCAAGTCTTTTTGTTTATCCCTATCTCTCTATACAAGAACACTCCTGATTTTTGATGAATTTTGTAAGACCATTCCATCAGAATTGTTTATGAGTTTCTCGAATTATCATTTTGTAGTGAACTTCTATTTGTAAATTTTTGTCATTACAGGGACTACAACTCCAGTATCCAATGAAGATATTCTTGGAGCTATAGTGCTTATTTTTTTAATCAATATATGAATAAAATAACTTATTTTTAATGTTGTGTTTTAATTTTGAAGTAACTTGAAATTTCATAATAATCTCTCTATGCCTATAGCACATTTAAAGATAAAGTTGAATGCTAGTGCTTGATTTGATGCTAGAATCTTTGATGATTTAGGTGCTCTCCTTTGTTTGGTTTTGAACGACCAATGTCAAAGGACGAGAGTAATTCATATGAACAGCAATATGTTTACTTGCACATGACCCTAAACCTTGGATAAGCCCTAATTCAGTCTGTTGAGATTGATTATTAGTTTCGACTATTTGGGTAAATTGATTATGATTTTAATGATTCATATGTTTTTGTCAATTTTGCTTTGTCACTTCAGTTTCTGCAATGGAATTTGAAGTTTCCCTTGTTGGTTATTCAGCTATGTGAAGCAAACTTAGATGGGTTTTAACAGGTTCAAACTCATTACTCAAGTATTTTGTAAACCCCTGTATATTTTTTAGGAAGGATAATATGTTCATTTATTATTGTTTAGAATTCTTTTTAGTCTAAAAAGAAAGACTTAACACCTCTAACTCATTTAATGGATAAATGACGTTTGTGAGAGTAAATTACATAATCTGCCACTATATTATCCTTCTTTAATGTTCAGTTTTCTTGTATTGGTGATAAAGATTTGGTGAATTTTTATAGGTTGTGATGATTACAACTTTCTGGTTGGATTCAAGCAAAGTTTAGATTATCCAAATCTTGTTGAGGCAAGTTAGATGGTTATGTTAAACAAAGAGAAATTAATTTCTCTTTTTACAATTCATTTATTCGCTTTATTTGATCATTTACATATCTTAGCCACATATGAGTATTTCATGATTTTTCTAAAAACATTTCATCTTTGATTTCTTAGCTGATGGCTCATAGAAAATTGTTACTTAATGTTGGGAAAATCCTTCTTTCACCGTTATTGCCGAGACACATGTCATTAACAAGAACCAAGTGACTTAATTCAGTTTCTTTAGGTTATATATTTTAATTGCAGGTTACATGTTAAGCCTTTTTTCTACACTAGCATTATAAGATGTATAGATTTAACACATGTTGTTGGGCTACACTATAAATGTAAGAGTGTGGAATGATAGATAGTGCATTAACTTCTATGTTTGTTGGAAATAAACAGGTGTTGCAGTTATCTTTGGTGGTTCAACAAAATTGTCCTTTGTAAAGCAATAATGAAAATGTAGGAAATATGAAATGACATCTTTGAAGACATAATGGATTTTTTAAGGAACCAAAGCAACTATCCAACCATTTGAAGTCAAAACCGTTCTATTTTGTTGGTTTTTCGTATTTTGTTGGTATGAAATGTAATGGATCAAATTCCATTTCTTTTTCTTTTTTTCTTAACCTGCCAAAGGATTTGTGTTGTCTTGGTTTCAGCTCATCTTTTCTATTCATCAACTTAGCTTCGAAATGATTTTATGGAATCACTTAAAACTATAGCTTATTGATTAATCCTTTAGGGTCGTGATTATCACGGCCCTAATAAGTTTCCTAGTATGGTTATATACATTAGCATTAAAAAAATACTTTTTATATTGAACATTAATCTTCCACATGAATTAACCAAAATGTGATAAAAGTGGGAAAAAAAAAAAGTTCATTGATCAAGATGATTAATAAATGAAACCCTTCAAATTTTGGTATAAAAAGCAATGCATCAACATTCAACAAATTTAGTGTAATTTGACAACATACATATTAATTATACTAAATTTAGTGTAAGAACATGATTATAATTTGTTAAATTCCATTTACTGTGTGTTGGTGTACTAATAGTAGGCTCGCATCCCACAGACAACAACCTCATTTGTAACAAAACTCGTTACACACATGCTAATCAAACACAAATATTTACCAAAAATTTAAACCTCAAACAATGTTTGACTTATTTAGTGTTTTTCGTTACTATCCACATTGACCAATGCATTTGACTGTGGTGGCTCAATATCCTCCAAAACACTAGTACCATCTTGTCTCTGCAAAATTCGAATGAAGAAAAATATTAACTTTGACCATAAACGTTGACTAATAAGTAATTTCAAGAATGATTCATATATCTAATAAAATTAACTGTTTTTAATTACAAAATTAATATCACCTTTGTAGCCAGACCTTTAGACGCCATGAGATCATAAAATGCACGCATTAACATTTCTTCCTCAACCTACAAAAAGACTAAATAATTAATATTCCTATGATATTTTGCTTGTTTCTTTTCTTTAAAATGCCAATTTTACCCTTTAGTTGCGTGTTATACAAAATGGAATGGAAGTCAATTATAAAAACAAAAGAATACTTTAACGTTATATATATATATATATATATATATATATATATATATATATATATATATATATATATATATATATATATATATATATATATATATATATAAAAAAAGATGAATTACCTGAAGTTTATGTAATTCATGTGACATTGATCTATAAGCATCCATGAGGAGTTCATCCTGTTTCTCCAAGTGTCTACATATTAAAGAACAATATTATGTACTCTTAGTCATATTAGCGTTAAAAATATTTCAAGAAAACTTACTTTAACATCTCTCCAGTGTATTTAGGATCCATCAAGTGCAGATTCTGAAAAAAAAAAAAAAAAGTTCTCAAAATTAGGGATGACCTTCAAGCATTGTTGATCAAATTAACATAAATTAACATGTGTTACATCAGAAATCGTATCAGAACAAGATAGTAATGTGAATAATATGTGGAAAGATAAATTTTTATGCATAAAATCTTTGATCTTGTTCTTGATCATGCTTCAGTTTAGATCCGATTCACTGATGGGTTAGTAACACAATCATAGCTCCAAACACGAATGCAATTTCCTCTGTTTTTAAAACAATGTCTGACTTAAAATAAAATTCTTCTTAACAATTGAATTTCAATTTTCAACCAACCGAACTTAAACTAGCAAACCCTAACAATTAATTAATCAACAATTAAATAACTACTGGTAAAAAATCATCCATGGAAACAGAAATTATAAGTCATTATAAACAAGAAAGTAAACTGTAAAGAGATATGTTATGTCAAGAAACAATCGGAAGGAAAATATTGGGGACAGGGTAAGGGATATCTGAAACTGCGATTTCTTACGTATTACCAATTTTGACCAAACAACTAACGAATCAGATCTAAACACACATGAAATCAATCTGTAATCCGACAAGCATACAATAACGAAGATTGCTATAATACGTACCTTACCAGTAAGAGAGGCGACGATCTTCAGAACCCAATCAAACCACTGCGCAGAAATTGGTGGTGTCGGTTGCTTCGGGTATGAAGGAGGTCAGCGCCGGTGGCTGCAGGGAAGGATGATGGTGAAGATAGAGGCTGCTGTGGCGTGGTGTTTAGGAGGCGGTGTGAAGCAAATAAGAAGAAAAGATAAAACGATGTAGGGAATGAGGGCTAAAAGTGTATACACAATGAATCCTTCAGAGCCCTTTGTGAATCAATCAAGATGAATTGAAATTGAAATTGAACAAAGATGTGAATCAATCAAAGAAAGAGGTGACGACAAACCAGATTGGTCGCTAGTTGAAGTTGTCGCTGTGACCTTGTTGTTCGCTCGCTGCTGCAATCGACCGTGATGGTGGCAAATTCGGAGGACGCCGTATCGGAGAGGAAGGCAGCGATCGATGGTTTTGATCGGAGAGGAGGGTTGCGACGGTGCTGGTCGCTGCAAGATGGCGTCGATCGATCGAGGGTTCTTTCTGGGAGGTTGGGAGGTTGGACGATGATTGGAGGCGGAAAAAAAAAAAAAAAAGACAAAATTGCAAAAATGGTCCTATGGCTGTCAAAATTGGATTTTTTTTGTGTTTTTAGTCCCTGTACACTTAAAATGACTATTATGCCCTTTATATATGTATTTTTTATTTTCTATATTTATATTATTGTTTTTAATTATTAAAAGTCTCTCTCTCTCTCTCTCTCTCTCTCTCTCTCTCTCTCTTTTTTTTTAAGAACACCCTCCAGGTGTTACCCTCTCAAGAACATTCAACATATCCCACCATTATCATTTACCACCACGATCTCCTACTACCATTTTCGTTCACTACCACCATCCGCCTTTCATCATCGCCGTTTACCACCACCATCCACCTGCTACCATCCTTGTTCTCCACCACCCTCTTAAGAACAAACACAATCATTCTTTCTCACTCCTCCTGCCATTATCTCCATTCATCACCACCGTTCGTTGCCGACTGCCCGACCACCTCCATCTCCCCCACCATCACCTCTCCTTTCCTAACCTGATAACCATTCGCCACCACCATTCACCTGAAAAATCAAACCAAAACGTCGAAAAATCGAGGGATTTATAGAAAATGGTGGATGTTGAACCACAGATACATTTTTCTCCAGAGGCGGTCTTGAACTACAAAATTGTTCTATGCGCTGAAATGTGGATTGATGTCGATTTTGTTATCGAATGGCCAATGTTGCAAAAGGTAGCTTGAAGGGAACAAGTGAGGTTGATGGTGGCGACGCAATCAGAGCAAAAGAGAGTTGAGGGCCAGGGTTCTACTTCCCCGACCTCCTCCCAGATCAACTTCTACTTCTTTCGAACAAGATGAGGATAAGAGGATACAAAGTCAATTTCAAGGATCTGAGATTGAAATTGCCCTCCTAATTCGAGCTAAAATCAAACATTGGAGTAGAAATCGAGCAACCGTGGGGAACGTGACGACGATCGATGGTGGTGATAATCCAGTTGTTCTGGTGGTCGACGACGGCGAATTTAGGGTTCTTCAGTTGAATCTTTCACTTGATTTTGTGATTCCAGTTGTTCGAGCCTAAGTTTGTTAATGACATCTAGATGTCTTGCCGTCGTATCATGTATCTTGTTGTGGATCTCGCAATGGAAGCTGCCACCGGAGCTAGGGTAACAGAGTCGCCGTCGGAGTGGTGGTGATGGTGGTCCTATTTTAGGGTGTGGTGGAGTGTGACTTAATTGGAATGGGTGGTCTGATGATGGTGGAGAGAGAGAAAGAGAGAGATAGAGAGTTTATTTTTGTCACAACTAGAAATTTTGTGTCTTGTAATCACTACACTCAAGTAAAGGTTGAATCAAAAATTTTAAAGCATGTGTGATGCTTATTTAATGACATCAAAAACTTCAATCAAATACATCATGCAAGTGCTACAAATAGTCAACAACCAATTGGAAACCCTAGAAGTTCTTGTTTAGATCCATTTTGGACTAGTACTTCCTTATTGGACCCAAATGGACCAATAAACTTCCAATTTGACTATCATGGGCTTAGAACCCTTAAATGGGCTCTAATTGGACCCATATCTATTTATTTCAACATTTTGGGCCATATTGGGCCTAGAATGAAATAAATTCAAAATTATGAACAATAATGAACTTAAACTAGCCCAACAAAGTATAAAAATCACACTTATATCTTACAATCATCAAACCTAACTCTAATATTGGGCTTAGGGGCATTAAAGCCCAATACTCTCTTTTTTCTTCCAAATTTCGGCCCAAGACAAGCCCAAGAGGAAGAAGTTGACTATTACCATGACACCTCACTTTTACATGGGGGATATCCATGTTTTACACTCCAAACATCCATATAATCTCATCTTTCCATGAAAACTCCTCTCTTCTTCTTCCCCTCTCTCATTCTCAGCCGAACACCCCTCTTCACTCATCAAAAATTCATTCCAAACCTCTTTAAGTCTTGAAGAGCATTCCTCCTTCCCTCTCCTAAAATTTTCGAGGTTTAAGTGCATTCCAAGGAGATTTTTCACAAAAATCACCATCCAAGGTAAGATTATACTAAATTCTATGATCTAGGTTCCTTGATCTATCTAAAATCTCTTCTTAACTCTCATGAAATCATGAACTTGTGTCTTAGAACCCCTCAAACTCGAGATCTTCAAGAAAAGGGTGCTAAGGCCAAAAATCACTTCATTTCTTCCATCCTTTCTTCAAAAACTGAATCAACACCCAAGGTGAGCTTCATACCCCCTTATTTTCGGTTTTTATAAGTTTTTGTGGGGGAGAATACAAGCAAAGGTGTAGATCCATCATTATGTGTATGTTTTGGTTGATTTCTATGCTTATATGTATGTTTTGTATGATTATGATGCTAGATCTAGTTATGAATTACTAAAAACTGAAATATATTTTATACTAGCATACAATATACTACTACATGCCAAGTATACCAAGAAAAATAGCCAAATGGCTTGGCAACACTTATTTTGGGCTAAAACCTCATTTTTTTTGACACCAAATGTTAAAAATACAAAGTTGAAGGGCCTAAAATGAAATATTTCGAAATCTGATGGGTGAGATGAGTCCAAACAGTTTCCATAATGTATTTTCTGAAAATATACTATTTGAAGGATTAAAAACATAAATTTCAATCTTAATGGGCTAAAAATGACAATTTCGGCCCAATAGGGCCCATTATGCGAAATTTTCTGTTTTGGAGGGCCAAAACTGTGTTTTTCTGTAAAACAATGGACTACTAGTGTTACAAGTACTTTTCAAAGGTTTAAAATGCTTTTCAAATTTAAAAAGGACCAAAGTTGCAAAATTTTTCCAATTTGGGCCAAAAATGTAAAAATTGCGAAAAAGAGGGGTTATAACCGAGAAAACTGCAATTTCAGGGACTTAAACTGTTTTCAATGAAAAATATGCTGAAAAATATTAATTTCAATAATTTTTGGTGTTAAAATGTCAAGAAAAATGGTTTAAGGACTAAACCGGAAATTATTTTACCTAAAGGGGTGAAAAAGTAAATTTACAAAATAAAGAGGGGTTGTAAACAGAAAATTTTCAATGATAATTCAATACACTCGTTGTGAACAAAGATTGACACTACGACTCTCGATGAATTACAATACACAATATCACCAACAATCGTTATTAAACGAATTGATTCGGTCTCGAATCAATAACAAATCCAAAACTACTAACACTACAACGCTCAATACACATATGGAACTCTCGGAACTCTTTACTCTCGTGGAACTTACTCAATACGTCGACGTACACTCCTTAGGCCCAAAAGTTGCAAATCATGCTTGTTGAGCCTAGCTAGCCCGATGACATGATCTTTAGGCCCAAAGGACACTTGCTTACATGTAGTTGGGTCTAATATGACTCGACAGCGTGTAAAAGGACTTTCAATGGCAAACATGCTGCTGGTCCCCAAGGGTCCTTCGGCGCTGCTAGTAAAGTCGGGAACTCACGATTGCTGGATGGGTCTCGGGCCCTTCGCAATTGCAATGGTCTTGAACGATGTAGGGAAATACCGAGGGTTTCGCACCTTCACTTTTTCCCCTCGGTCGTGGGACTACACAAGTCCGGGAGGATTGAGTTGTGTGAATAAGTGCGAGTGACGCCTAAGGGATCGCTAGTACGGTTGTCAACTGGACGTTTTCATTAACGTACGTTACAACAATTCACCACCCTCTGTATACTCAATGCCTCCGGAGCTCAACGAACACCCCTAACGTAACGAAATAACAACACACAAACTAAGTAAAGCAAAGTGATAGGAAAACGTTGGGTTTTCCTAGGGTTTTCAACCAGTACACTTATGAACTATATGTCGAATTTCACAACTCTTACGCTTACATCTATAGAATTCAAACAAGCATACTCACGGATCTTCATATATTTTTACGCTATACTATTTTCAGAAAATATCGGATTTTCTGGTGGTTTTCAAAACATTACAAACATTGGATTTCAAACATTACTTATGAACTCACCAACATTTCATATGTTGACGTTTTTCAAAATACTTGTATTCTCAGGTAACAGATAAGTGAAGAAAGGACTGTACTCTATGATTGTTTTGCGGTTGTTTAACTAACAACGAACAATGTATTTTGGAATGTAATATTTTGAAACAATGTAACGGATGTAAACGCTACCAGTTGTATTATTCCAATGCTTGGTGATGTATGATGTTATGTTTCATGTATATTCACTGTGATGGTATTCAATTGAGTCACAATAGCCCCCGGACGTTTCCGCCGTCTGGTTCGGGGGTGTGACAATTTTGTTTTTGTTTTTTATTTTATTATAAGAATAAAAAATAAATTAATTAAATTAAAATATAATTATTTAAAGGGCATATTAGTCATTTTAGGTAGGATGTGGACGAAAAACACAAGAAAATACAACCATAAGGACCAAAACCACACAAGATATCTAAAATTGGACCAGTGGTACACCAACATTTCATTTTGGACCAAAACTACATAATTTTGCCAACCACATGGACCATTTTTGCAATTTTGTCAAAAAAAAACGCGTATTTTTTAAGTCAAAGGCTTGCAAACTTTAGAAGAGGCTATCCCATATCTGTGTGGGGTGAAGACGCAGACGTTTTTATGTCTGCGCACTTCAGAAAAACAAACAAACTGCAAACCATTATGTCTGCGCGTGGTCTGCGCCTCGCAGACAGAAGAGGTTACACAGACCTGCAGAGAAAAAACAAACACCCTTTTAATTTATTTTTATATATATTTAATCATTTATGTTCTTTTTTATATAGTTATTTATGTTTTTATTTTGTACAAACATGACCATCAAACCTAATGGTTATATGTGTACAAAATAAAAAATATAAACAATTAGATATGTCTAAAAAAACATAAATAACTAAATATATACAAAAATAAACAACATAGATTAAATGTATACACAATCTAATCTATATCATGTGTCATCCTAAAAAAACATGTTTCAAAACCATGTTTCACAGTTATAATGGTTTATAGGGCTAAAAAACAAAAAAACTATTGTCATCGATCATTAAAATATTTCTTTTCATAATTATTAAACTTACAAGTTATCTTAATATTAAGCCCTTTTTGTTAATGATTAATCTATATTTTCAATTAACCAATTATTATAAATTATACGAATGATCTTTATGGTTTCAATTTTCTTTCATGGTTGGTCCCTCACAAACACCGTTTACCTCCAAACAAATTTGAAAATCTCCCCTATCTTTGAAAACTAATATCATTTTGTTTCACCTTAAAATCCTTTTCGAAACATCATTGAAACGGAAAGTCCATGCTTGCATTCTTCAATCGAAAACCAATTCCAGCATTTAAAATCGAGAACCCAGATCCTACACTATCTTTAAGGAGAAGCAGTGTAATCATC